ACCAACAAAAGAATCTTATACTCCAGGCTGCCTTTAGTAAATACACCTGAAGCATTAACTCACATTTCAAATACTGACTGAATAACAACAGTGTGCCCAGCACAAAGTTCAGTGGTTTCTCACTCCTTGCTTCATTTATTTCTCACACACTCTATAGCACAGAATACAAGTATTTTACAGGTAAGGAAACTAAGGCTCAGAGATGACACTCAGAGGTCACATGACTCAGAAGTAACATGATTTTGAAACCCAAGTCAAGCGTCCTCCACCCCATTCCTGTCATCCTCCCTCCTTCCCCCTCCTTCCCCACACCCTAGCTACTGCACTGTTCAAATTCCAACCTAGTTTGAGCATTGATATACTCTCAGAATATGAGAATACACAGAGGCAGGCTGTCCCACCCACCGTGTCCTTCTTTCTTCACAAACACTTGCAGAAATAATGACTACCATCCACATCTTAAGTACCTCTCTCGGTGGTTGTCAAGTGACTCACTTCCTCAGTATGACTGCAGTCCTCAATCCCAGGCCAGCACCCAGTAACCCTACACAGTTGAGAGTGTAGGGTTGGGTCTTCCCAATCTGCTGCTGTTTTGGACAGGTAAAGACACACTCAGCTTAATCTCCAGGAAGGAAGGAGGAAAGGCTGAATGCTGGTCAACTCTAGAGCTCAGCTCAGAAGTGGATTCCTTGTAACATTTTGTCCTTATCCTTATTTGGGCACTTCCCACTGTATTACAATGTTTTTATACAGTTTTCCCCCCATCAACTATGAACAAGACAGGGCCAGTAACTAACATTTATACTTTACAATGTTCGGACTGCTTTCTGAATGGGTTCTTTCATCTTTTCTCCCTGTACTTTGCCTAGAGACCCTACTTTATGTTTAAGAAATTAATTTGAGCTCCTCTTGTGACCTAAGGAAGGGACGGTAACAAGATAAAGAACAAAATTTTAAAGTTCCTTTCAAATCCTCCCAATAGTACACACTTGCACCTGAGAATTTTTAACTTGTGTTTATTTAAAAGTAAGTATGTTTTAAAGCTTTTGTTGCCAAAGCAAATGTTCCAAAGATTAAGATTAAAAGGAACTGGTCAGGCAAGGGAAAATCTGGCTGGACATAGTCAATCATAGCCATCATCAGAAGCCAACTGCAAATCTAATTCAGATTGCCACTAAGCTCTAGACCCCTATCCAAAACACACTTTGAGGACCAAAGGTTTAATGATTAAAACAGTCATATGTCAAGAGTCCTGGAAACATTCAGAAATGATAAAATACAGTTCTTGCCCTCAAGGAGCTGCAATTGGGTATTTCAATTAAAAAAAAACCTCTACATTTCACAAGTACCCTGGGAAGCAGGCACAACTGTTAATCCAGTTTTAGAGAGGAGGAAACTGAGGTTCCAGGGGACCTCTGTCTTGGCTGAGATCCTCTTGAGTTAAGACCCACACTCAAAGTCTTTTGCCAGGCAGCAGCTTAAACGAAGATTGAGAATTTCAGTGGGAAGTCATCCTAGTTGGGGAACAGGACAACAAGGTCTTGTTATGTCAACTGGGGCCTCAGAACAAAGCCATCCTTCCTTCCCCCTCAGGGTTTGACAACAAATAGTTTAATTTGGCTGGAGAGTGGAGAGCTGTAGGGGAGAGGGGGAAAGGGACACCTGAGGTCAGATTAGATCTGGCCTAGTCCAGGCTTCCCATTAGGTAATATGCCATGCTTGAAACACTCCATCCCTTTCAGGAGCAGTGGAGGGGAAGGAAGGGTTACCCAGGAGAGAGAGATCTTACTGTCTTCCCACTCAGAGGGATTCTTTGTTCTGAGTAGTATAACAAACATGGAGAAATACAAAGAGCTATTCAGCAAATCCTTTCCTCTCTTCCCACTTGCTAAAATAATTTTTTAAATCTTTCCTCTTGATAACTTATGTTAGTTAAGATATCTAATTACCCCATCAGTCAAGGAGTGTTAAGAGTTTGAGAAAGATTGCCTGCACTCACTCTAATTTCACAAACTTGGTCCTCCTTTCTCCAGGCCAAAAGATTAACCCATTCCTGACCTCTGGAAAAGCCACTTAAATGTTTGCAGTTCCCACTCAGACCTCAATAAATTCCGAGTTCCTCAAGAAAAGGCTTGTAAAAATTATAGCGGGAGAGACATACACTATTTCTTAAACTGCACACATTATTTGGATGGTGAAAAGGTTTTAAAGCCACACAGTCTAGTAATGTTATTTCATTATCTGAATGGTAAAAATTAAGAAAAGCAAAAATATCCCTAAAATACATTTTTGAGCTTACAAAGGACAGTTAGTGTGCAATTCCAAGACAGAATTTGATTAGCATTCAAATTGAAACCTGATGAGCTGCTATGATTGGTATGAATTCTACAAGTAGATACCCCTCCCCAATCTGTTCAGCTTCCAGGCTTCACCCTATCTGTTCAGGTGCAGTGAAGGCCTCTAGACCTAGGCCAGAGGCCAACTGGAACATTTCTAGTTAAGATCTACAGACCTTGAATATGTTTCTAGGTGTTTTGCAAGAGATTCTCAATTGCTGGACCCACAAGGTGGTACATGACTTTAATCCTAGCTATTCCAGAGGGAGGCTGGAGTCAGTCTGGGGAAAAAGTTAGTGAGACATCATCTCAACCAATAAAAGTTGGGTGTGCTGGCAAGTGCCTGTCATCCCAGCTATGAGGGAGGCATAAATAGGATTGTGGTTGAGGTTGGCTGGGCAAAAAAGGTAAAACCATACCCCCCCCCAAAAAAAAAAGGCTACAGCAAAAAAGACTGGGGGCATGAGGGCCGTACCACCAAGACCAAAAATAAATAAATAAATAAAAGTTCACAGTCAACCTCTGACCTATTCCAAATGCTCTCAAAGAAGCACTCAGTGGCCATCAGCCTTGGACAACACTACCTTGAGATAAAAGGACTGCAGAGGTAAGTTAAAGCTATTTTATAATGTGAAGCCTGCTCATTAAGTCCTAACCTGAAACTCCAGGGAAACTAAACAGTTGTATTTTCTCAAAGGCCTATAATTACTATTTCTTGAGTTATTACATTAGGCACATGGATGAGGTCTTGCTATATACTATATTAACTTAATAATTCCAATAACTCTGAAGTATTTATCTTCAAAAGAAACTGAGGTTGGGAGTGAAATGCCCAAAGCCACAGAGCTGCTGAGTGCTTTTAACAGCTGACTCCATGACCCCATTCCAAAACGTTCTTCTGTCCCTCCCAAACAAGCATCTTTGGGTTCATCCTGCTATCAGAGCTATCAGATGTGTGCTCTTTGACACAGATGAGAAATCTCTCTCTCTCTTTCTTTCTTTCTGAAGGCATCATGGTTCTTGAGCCCTTACTGGTCACCCGTCTCCTTCAGACCCCTATCAGAAGTTTAAAGAATAGGTTTTCTAGTCCCCTTAGTCTGTCCTTCCCTCTGATTCATTACCTCGTTATTACTGATGGACCTATCTGAGGGCAGTTGAGGAGCACAAGGGCACAAAATTCCCAGAGGCTCACTCTTTCATCCTCACCAAGTTTAATTACCACCCACATCTTCAGACATACAAACAGCAGTGAGATATCCATGCTCAAGGTTCCCACACCAAGGAAAAGCTGACGAAGGGAGTCAGGACACAGATCCAGGCCTCGTTCTGTCACTAGCTAATTGTAACAAGGAAGAAACTCAACTACCCCCTTATAATGCTGAGTGTGGTGATAAATGCCTATAATCCCACCAGCCCTGACAAAGGTAGTGAGACCTGGTCTCAAAAACAGAATACAAACAAAAGGGCTGGGGGCATGGCTCAAGTTGTAGGGAGCTTGCATCACACTGGTGAGGCTCGGGGTTCAATCCCAAGAAGAAAAGGGAGAAGGGGGAAGGGAAGGGAAGCAACTGCCCACTTTAAAGATCAAGCTGACTTATGTAAGGCACTTAGGAAGGTCCAATTTGGTGCTTGATGAATTTTGTTGCCTTCTTTTATAGATTTTTTTTCCCCAGTGCTGGGGTTTGAACTCAGGGCCTTCACCTTGAACCATTCCACTAGCCCAATTTTTCTGTGATAGGGTTTTTCAAGATAGGGTCTCTCGAACTATTTGCCCGGGGTAGCTTTGAACTGTGATCCTCCTGATCTCTGCCTCCTCAGCAGCTAGGATTACAGGCGTGAGCCATTGGCGCCCGACCAAATATATATATGAAAGGTCCCTAACCATCTCCACACGTTGTCTTCCTTTTTTCTGACCCCACATCCTAAATCGAGAAATTAGGTGACCAAGCGGAAATCGTTACCGAATTCAGGTCACCAAGTCCAGGGGTAGAAAGTTCCTTGTCCTGTCAGAGAAAACTCAAGGATGCACACAGAGGAGGCCTAAGCAGTAGTAGGTTTATTATTGCAAAGCAAAGAGAAAACAAAGCAAAAGTGCACTCTCCCTACAGGTTCAAGAAGTAGCGTTATACTGGGGGGAAAGGGAAAGGGGTGTCCCAAGACCTCAAGTTTTTATTGGGGTCTGTGAGCAGGGGGGGCGGTCTGTCCTGGAAAAGTGGGTTATGCATCAATTCCTCTCACATGTCAGGTGGGGGAGTTCTTGCTCAAGATGGTCAGACCTGAGCTGTCATTTTCTGCGGGCAGTCCGCAGCCTGAGTCACCAAGATCCTGCTGTATGTCACAAGTTGCCACAGATGTGATTTTATCAGCAGTCAAACCACTAACTCCAATATCAAAATGAGCTCAAAACAGGTATATATTAAAAAAAAAAAAAAGAGGGCCCCCAGCTGTCACCCTCTTGCAGACCAGAGGAAAGAGCGAGGAGCCAGACACAGAAACAGAAGTGGGGGTCGGGGCTGCACCCGAAGCCCACTTCCCCAGGCCCGGCCCGCCCGCGCCCCTCGGCTTCCGCGCCCAGGGTCGCCAGCCTCGTCTCGGGAGCAGCGGCCGGCGGCTCAGCCCCGCCACGGCCCCCATAGTCCGCCAGGGTCACCGGCGGTCGCTCACCTTCGCTGAACAGAGCAGCATCAGAAGGAAGCCCAGGGCCTGGCCACGCGCGCTCATGCTGCGGCGCAGGGCTGCGTACCTCCGCTGGGTTCGGCAGGCTAGGCGACTTCACTTCCCCGGGATGTTTCAGGACCCGCGCCTGACTAGGGAGGGAGTAGGAGCGGGCGGCGAGTTGCGCGCGCAGCTCAGGAAGGACGGAGGCGGAGGTCGGCTCCTCCCCTTGTGGGCGGAGCCTCTAGCGCCCCGGGCGGTACTGGGGCGGGGCCTGGTGGATGGGGCGGGGCTTAACGGGTGGGGCCGGCCGGTAGCACTACGCGGCGGGCGACCTTTCTGGGGTCCCGCATTGTCCTCCCCAGACGTGCGGTCCGTGTACGCGATGTGGGTCTGGGCAACTGAATTTTTGGACTCCATCCTGCTGAAGTTGTTCCAGCAGCATCTAGTCTTGATGCTTCCCCTACCTTTTTGGGGTTGGAGTGAGCGACAAGGTTTTAGAACCTGGAAATACTTGGAAGCGATTTTCCCAGTTAAGACCCCATTTCTCAGTGGAATATTTGTTTATTTTGGCTTTAGTAAGTACTCTGAGCGATTTCTCCTACCAAACCCAGTTACCCAAAAGGAATCCGTGCCTGGGACACCTTCCAGCAAAGCTCGGGGCGGTGACGAGCAGTGGCCTGTGTTGTGATCAGCGCGCAGGGGGCGGAGCGCCGCGGCGGGCGCGCCTTAGCCACCGGATCTGTTTACTGTCAACTCATTCTACGTTTGGGGAAAGCGCACCACCTGCTGGCCAAGCCGCGCCTAGCGGTGAAACCAAGGATCCGAAAAATATCCCGAAGTTTAGAACAGATGGCGTTTTGAAGTTCTGGGGCGAAGTCATGCAAGGTAAAAATTAAAAAGTGGCATCTTCGTTTTCGACCCATACACTTATTACATATTTTTGTCTTGCACTTATTTTTATTGTGTGCATTACTGGTTATATTTCCTCTTAAATTTCAATTATTCGGACTTCGAAAAAGGATCAGTCATTACTGTTTTGAAGTTAACAATGGAAGCCCATTGGCAATGAAAAGACGAAATATCCATGTGTTAGCAAATGACCACCGTCAGTCGTAGGTAAGAATATAATAAAGTGGTCTTCCCATCCTTACTCTACGGGCAGTGTTTCATTTACTGTCTTTTCTTCTCACGTCTTGTGCCCACAGATGTCCAGCTGGCTTGCCCAGCAGTGAAATTATAGGATTTCCTCTGTGCTTTCAGCCCTAGACTTTTCTACAAGACCTCCTGACCTTCATCCAACTCAGTATCCACTCACTTCCCGGACTCAGGCTCTTACTGGTTTATATAAAGTTATATACTTTATCCTAGGAAAATTAAATAATTATCCTGACTAAAGACAATTTCAAGCACCATAAGACAATTCAATTTCTGATGCCCCTGAAATTATGTCCACCATTCACCAAAACAGTAATAATAAAGATGTTAGACATATTTTTTTTCCGGGTCTCGGTCTTTTTTTTTTTTTTTTTTACAGCTTCAATAATGTCCAAAAGCCTAGGAAAAATTTTTTAAATAAGCCATCATATTTCTAAGACAAACCTTTTTTTCACCAACTTAGAAGCTCCTAAGGCCAATTTTTTTTTCATGGTACTGTAAGAGGCACTCAAGTTGCTTTTGCTGAAAAGCACTGACTCCTTACTTGAGCCCACAAATTAACTAAAAACAGGAAAAGCTGGCATCTTTGTCTTCATTTTGTATCTGTCTTTGCTCTAAGCCATTCTCTTTACAGTCACTTTACAATCACCTTGGATTCCAAAAGGGACAAAACTGATAATATCTTTATGACAATGAACTGGAGCCACCTGGTGAGGACAATTATCCCAAGAATCCTCTCTAACAGGAACCAGATTACTCTCTCCAGATGATAACTTTCCAAAACTGGACCAGGCCACCTGCCTGACCAAGACTGCTCGACCAGTCACAACTACACCTGTGACTCGGACTGTTTAATTATGCATACCTTTGTCCCCTGTCCCCAGTTCTTTTGTCTATTTAAGACCTATAGCTCATGTCTGAACCTGGAAGATGGCTGAGGATGAGCTGAGTGCTTACTCTGCTTTTCCCAATGCATTTCCTGAGCCATGTAATAAATCTTTCTCCACCTTCACCATACCTCTTATTTTGGCATTTAAGGATGGGTGGGCAGACCCAACTCTCAGGAGTTTGGGCCTTGGGTCCAAAACTCCAGGTTCAGTACTGTGGTTTGAACTTAGGGCCTCATATTTGCTAGACAGGCTCTTTACCACCTGAGCCACTCCACCAGCCTTTTTGGGTTTTTTTGCTGATATAGAATACATGTTTATGGTAGAAACTTTGAAAATACACAGAAGTTTAGAGACAAGGACAAGAATTTAAAAAATAATTTATAATTCTACCATGATAGACAATCCATGTTATATTGTGGTGTATTTTCTGCTCTTATGAAAATTATTATTTTTATTGTTTATTCATTTACTCATATATGAATACACTGTTTGGGCCATGTCTCCCCCCTGCCCCTATTCCCCCCCTTTCCCTCCCCCTCCCCTCTGAAAATTATTTTAACATGGTGAGATCCTAAGACAGATTTTTTTTTTGGTGGCACTGGGATTTGAACCCAGGATCTCATACTTGCTAGGCAGGTGCTCCACCATTTGAGCTGCTCCACCAGCCCTGAGAGAGATTTTGTTTGTTAGCTTTCTTAAAGAATACTCAAGGCTGGAGGCATGACTCAAGTGATAGAGCACTTCCCTAGCAAGCGTAAGACCATGAATTCAAACCCCAGTACTGCCAAAAATATCCAATACAACTACCTTTATGACTCCATTCAATGTTGAGCTCAGAATAAAGGACAAAGCAAAAGGGAGAATAGAATTATTAACTCATGCATCTTTATAAATATATATAAACATCCTCCAGAAAATTCTTGTATCATTGAAAAATGTGAATATAAGATGTGGGTTTTAAAAATCAGTGGGCTAAGTTATGGAAACAGCCAAGATGCCCCACTACTGATGAATGGATTAAGAAAATGTGGTATTTTCATGATAAAAGCGAGAGCACACAAGGGAGGGGTGAGGATAGGTAAGACACCTAAAAAACTAGCTAGCATTTGTTGCCCTCAATGCAGAGAAACTAAAGCAGATACCTTAAAGCAACTGAGGCCAATAGGAAAAGGGGACCAGGAACTAGAGAAAAGGTTAGATCAAAAAGAATTAACCTAGAAGGTAACACACACGCACAGGAAATCAATGTGAGTCAATGCCCTGTATAGCTATCCTTATCTCAACCAGCAAAACCCCTTGTTCCTTCCTATTATTGCTTATACTCTCTCTACAACAAAATTAGAGATAAGGGCAAAATAGTTTCTGCTGGGTATTGAGGGGGGGGAGCGGGAGGGGGTGGAGTGGGTGGTAAGGGAGGGGGTGGGGGCAGGGGGGAGAAATGAACCAAGCCTTGTATGCACATATGAATAATAAAAGAAAAATGAAAAAAAAAAAAAAAGAAAATGTGGTATTTATACACAATGGAATTTTATGCAGCCATGAAGAAGAATGAAATGTTATCATTCGTGGGTATATAGATGGAATTGGAGAACATCATTCTGAGTGAGGTTAGCCTGGCCCAAAAGACCAAAAATCGTATGTTCTCCCTCATATGTGGACATTAGATCAAGGGCAAACACAACAAGGGGATTGGACTATGAGCACATGATAAAAGCGAGAGCACACAAGGGAGGGGTGAGGATAGGTAAGACACCTAAAAAATTAGCTAGCGTTTGTTGCCCTCAACGCAGAGAAACTAAAGCAGATACCTTAAAAGCAACTGAGGCCAATAGGAAAAGGGGACCAGGAACTAGAGAAAAGTTTAGATCAAAAAGAATTAACCTAGAAGGTAACACACACGCACAGGAAATTAATGTGAGTCAACTCCCTGTATAGCTATCCTTATCTCAACCAGCAAAAACCCTTGTTCCTTCCTATTATTCCGTATACTCTCTCTTCAACAAAATTAGAGATAAGGGCAAAATAGTTTCTGCTGGGTATCGAGGGGGTGGGGGGGAGAGGGAGGGGGTAGGGTGGGTGGTAAGGGAGGGGGTGGGGGCATGGGGGAGAAATGACCCAAGCATTGTATGCACATATGAATAATAAAAAAATAAAAAATAAATAAAAATAAAAATCAGTGGGCTAGCCAGGCACCAGTGGCTCACACCTGTAATCCTAGTTACTTGGGAGGCAGAGATCAGGAGGATTGCTGTTCAAAGCCAGCCCTGGGCAATTAGTTCAAGAGATCCTACCTCGAAAAATACCCAACCCAAAACAGGATTGGAGAATGCCTGCCTAACAAGTGTGAGGCCTTCAGTACAGCCAAAAGAAAAAAAAATCAGAATATATTGTACATAGTTTTAATCTTGCTTTTTTTTTTTTACACGTAGTAATATGATTTTGTACTTTGCTCACTTTTTTTGTGTGCGTGACTGGGGTTTGAACTCAGAGCTTCACACTTGTAAAGCAGATGCTCTACCACTGGAGCCTCACCTCCAGTCTATTTTTACTCTGGTTATTTTTGAGATGGATGTGTCATGAACTATTTGCCTGGGCTGGCCTGAAACTGCTATCCTCCCAATATCAGCCTCCCAAGTAGCTAGGATTATCGGTGTGAACCACCAGCACCCAGCTACTTTACTGTTTTTAATAGCTGTATAGGATTTTATTGCATGCATATAACACTTCTGAAGTTACATTCATGTAGATCAGTCTTAGAGCAGTGTCTAAGTCAATGAAGTCCAGATCATCAACCAGTGAGTTTTTCTAACAACTCAGTTTCTCTACTTGCATTTCTGGTACAGGTAAAGGGTTTGTGTGGTCCCAATAATAACTCATAAATTTACCTTTCCTTTTCCATATACTTCCTTGCATTCTTGAGCTTATCTGGATTCCATCTTTCTGTGCCCTCTGCTGTTGTGATGTGGCATCATAAAAGTCTAAAAGCTACTGAACATTTCCATTATGGAGAGAGAGGGGAAAGTTGTCCCAAGACAAGATTCTGTTTAGCTGGCATATGGAAGGGGAAGGCTCAAAATACTCATGTTAATAGTTTTTGATCCATTACAAATTGCCTTCCAAGGAAATCTGTTCATACTTTTGCCAACAACAAATGGAAATGCCTGATTCCCTATACCCTTGCCAACATTTTGCCATTCAGATAGGTAAAAATGGAATCTGTAATTTATTTATTTTAAAAATATTGGGCCAGGTGTGATGGCACATGCCTGTAATCACAGCGCTTGGGAAGCTGAGGCAGGAGGATCACAAGTTTGAAGCCAGGCTAGGCTACATAGTGAGTTCAAGGCCATCCTGCTTGTGTAGCAAAACAAAACAAAAATTGGGGTGCTTTATTTTGTATTGCTTTAATAATTATAGGTGAGAACAGTAATTTTTCATACACTTTTAAGTGATTTCATATCTTTTTCTGTGCTCTTTATTTGCTACTAGATTTTCTTATGTTGATTTGTAAAAGCTCTTGTTTAAGAAAATTAGCCTGTTGATCTAGCATATGTGTTGTACATACTTTTACTAGTTTGTTAGTTTTCAAGGCTACAAATAATTATTGCATGTTTTCCTGTAGGATATTAGTAATTTCATGAAGAAACAACCCCCCGGAATTATTTGCTGTAAGGAATCACGTAACGATCTGGCTTTGGTGTAGCTTGGTGATAGAGCAGTTGCCTAGGCTGCACAAGGCCTTGGGTTTGATCCTTAGCAACACACACACACACACAACAAAATATGTAGCAATTCAAGTGGGCAAAAAAGAAAAAAAGAATGTCTAACTGGTGCACAGATTGCACTTGCCTCTACTTCCTAACAAGAACTCTGAAGTTCAGTAACTTGGAATGAAGATAGAAGCAGACTTTTGGGTAACAGAACAGAAGCAGCCTTATTTCAGAGTCTGGAGCCCTTAACAACAGGCCCGACACTTCACCTTAGTTACTGTTTCTTCACCTTTTCATCATCTGCCATAACAGAATACCATAGATTAGTTGGCTTAAACAGTACTGTTCTGGAAGCTAGGAAGTCCAAGATCAAGATGCTGGATGTTTGGTCCCTGTCAAGGGCTCTCTTCCTCTTTTGCTGATGGTGGTCTTCTCACTCTGTCCTCACATTGCCTTTTTTTTTTTTCTTAACCTAGTATACACTTATATTAGTTATCTCTCACTGCATAACAAATTAGCTCAGAGGATTAAAAGAACAAATACTTGTTATTTCCCAGTTTCTGCTACTTGGTGATTTGGATGGTTTTGAGTAATTCTGGCTCAGGGTCTCTCAAGAGATTGTGGTCATGAGGTCAGCCCAGGCCACTGTC